GAAGGCACATAACAACAACATGTCTCAAGTTGTGATAATCTTGAAAGCTGTTAACAGCCTCTCAGCTAGGCTGTCTGCCTTAGGTACATGGAGGTAAGTCAGCGTTCAGTCGCTGCTGTCATGCGGCCGTAGCTGCACAGCATATGCAAATGCTTACAAATCAGGCTGGTAGAGACCAGTGTGCTGGGTATGAGTGTTTCATCAAAACCACTTCTGATGGGAGAGGGAAGGAATAAATTGTGTTGTAGGTAAAATATGCATTGATATGGTTAGTAGGCAAGTAAGCATTTTTCTATCTCTGATTTTAAAAGATTAAAGTATACAGGAATTGTTTAAATATGAAAACTGAGGTAGAGAGGCCCTCTATGGTAATTGAGTTGAATTTTGGACCCAATGTAGTATAGTTGATCACTATTAAAGAGTTATAAAATATACAGTGACATGTAGAAAAGAACTAGAAGATAATTTCAGCAGTAATGTTTTGCTGATTTGGGCCTCACACTCATTCCTGACTAACCTGTGTCTCTGAGTTACTGTCACCTTTTGTAGCTTAGGGTGTATTCACAGGTCCTTTAAAAGGCAATGCTGTATTGTTTTCTGATATTAGGACAAAAGAGATGATGCACTCATTGGTCTCAAGTCGACAGCCCTGAGGTTCGGCGAGAACACCAAGCAGTGGTTGAGTGGCTTCAGTGCGGCCATGGTGGGAGCACTGGGCCTGGTGGGCGCAAACTGTGACCAGACGGCCCCTTACTATGCTGCGGTGGCTGCTGTGGGAACTCATCTCGCCTACCAGGTTGGACTAGCTGCTTTTTTTTTCTTCTCTACATTTTTTTGTAAGATTGCCCGTTCCCCTCTCCCACCCAACTTGTCATACAGAACAGCTAGCTATATTATTATGGAGAAATAATATAACTCTGAGCCTGACTTTTCCCCCTAAGAATATTTTCCAGTGTTGCTGGAATTACATCTCTGATACCTCTCTGGAAAAATTTCAGCCCTAGTGTTACCTGTTGGGCTGTTAATACAAAGGTTGATAGTACAAGTCCACTGGCAACTCCAGGAGAGAAGGGTAGTCTCTTTCTGTTAAGATTTACAGCCCCCAAAACCCAGTGCAGGGTTGGACTGAACTTGTGAGCAGTGGGTGGATCCACAGGTAGATTGTTGAATGTAATGGATGATTCTATAAGACAACTAATCAACAAAACTAATTTTTTAAAACCTAAGCTTTCGGTTATAACTAATTCATAAGTTTGAGTCTCACTGTCAGAAACCAAAGCCAGATAAAATGTTTGACATGTTGGGTTTCTGCTAGACAGTAGGAAGCCATCAGTTCAGGCTATGCACACAGCAGCCCATCCTTACCCCCTGCAACCTTACACTGAGCGTCTTCATTCCTGATTTTTTTATAAACAGAATACTAATAATTGTTCTTTTTCTTAAACAAAATCCAGAGCATTATAGTGGACCTGCATTCAGAGCATCTATTTTGTACAAATTATTGCAAGTCACATTTCGGTAAAGACAAAACTTACACAGAATGCTATAACGGAAACAAAATCTGTTGTCTAAAAAATAAACTCCTTACTGTTTCACCTTCATTGTTTTTCTCTCTGGGAAAGGGAAAGATGGGAACAAGGGATTCTCTGAGATTCTCAGGATTTCACCATTTCCCTCTGCAGAATTTCTAAATACCTCCTTTTAGTCATTACTCAGCTCTGAAAGGTTTAATGGTTTTTGTTGTTTTATGGGGCTTTTTTAATATCTACCTGTCAATAAATTGATTACCTTCTCAGAGAGAGAGAGTTTATAGGTGACATGAACAGTTAAGTGCTTGGCTATTAAGAGAAAAGTTGGCTGTTCAGACCTCCCCAGAGGTACCTCAGAGGAAAGAGCTGGCAGTCTACTTCCAAAAAGTCACATCTTTAAAACCATACAGAATCAATTCATAGCTGACCCTCCAGAGGGCAGCCTGGCAGCCTTGCACTTCCAACCCAAAGACAGTGTGTTTGAATCTACTAGCTGTTTTTCAGGAGAAAGATGGGCAGTCTCCTCCCCTGTGATTTACAGCCTCTGAAAACCTGCTGAAGATTCAGCTGTGAATTGTTTCTGATTTGAAAGCACCTAACACCACAAATCAGACAGGAGATTTTCTCCTGAGGAGCCGCTGGTAGATTTGAACCACCAGAGAAGCAGCACCTTTGGGTTAACAGCACAACTTCTTACATTAGGCTGTGGAGGAGTGCAAAATCTGTGAGAACAATCACATAGAAGGAATATTTGGAACCCAATTTCCATTTTAAACTTCATTTGTGTGGTGCGCTGTCCAGTCATTGGTGTAACGGTTTGTGATAGACATAGTGCAGTATTTGAAGAAGAAGGAAATCATGATTTGTCAGTCAGCAGACCTCATTATAAAAGATAGTTGGAGAAATGAGGGATGCTTAGGAATAAGGCTGGCACATGAGACTTTTTCCTCTGTATTTGCATGGTTTCCATGCAGGACAAGGAGTATGTTTTTTTCTCCGTTGCCAGCAGTGATTTTCAAACCTCCTTCTCTGTGTGATGAGACACTGTCTAGAAATGCAGGTGGCATTTTGACTGTCATAGTAAACGAGAGAGGAAATGCTGCAAGCATGTCATAAGTGCAGGTCAGATATATTCAGTACCTTTCAATCCACCAGACAGCCTTGCACAATTGAGTTTTCATGTCCAAATTTAACATGTTCTCCTGTTGGAAAAAACATCATTCCAAGCAATAAATCCAGAACCACAGGGTAGGAGTAGCAGAGCAACAGATTTTAGATTTGTTTGCATAGACAAGAGTTTTCAAAATCACTAGTATGCCAGAAGCCTGGATTTCCCCTTAAACATTCATGCACATTTCAGCTGGAAGTTTTTACAGCACAGCTCAGATAATAACCAGTGAAAGGTGTAGATTTTCTACTTTGGAAGTAGTTTGCACTACATAAAGGGATTTCTCATTGCTTAGAATTCTGTAACAAGATGCTTTTTTATTGTCTATATTGTATTCATTTGCAGTATAAACCCCCTCCACATTTGTTTTCATTGTGTGCCTAACGAAGCTTTGTGTTCTTCCCCTACAGATTTACACCCTAGATATCCACAGACCTGAGGACTGTTGGGATAAATTTGCCTCCAACCGCACAATAGGACTAATACTGTTTTTAGGTATTGTTTTTGGAAATTTGTGGAAAGAAAAGAAAACAGAAGAAACCAAGAAAAATATTGGTAATAGGTTAGAAAATTAGCAAATGAAGTTTATCTTTTATCTTTATATTTTTTGTAAAAGAATTTTTTTCTTGCAATCATTCACAGATATTTTAATAGTGTTAATTTTAATTTATTTATGGAATTAATTTCAATGCCTGATCAGCCCTTTATTGTATATGGCTTTGCTTTTTACCAACACTCTCAGGTGCTATTTCCATGTAACCAGAAAATGAAGATTTATTTGCCTGTATTTTAGTTCTAATTATTTGTTAGCAAAATTCTTCTCCTGTCTCAGAACCCAGAGACTCTTCAGGTTTTAGGTGACCTTGAGTGTTTGATTCATTCTTCTCTACATTATAATTCTCATGTGAAGTGATGAGAATTGTTTAGCACTTTAAAAAAAAAAGCAACAAAACATTTCATTTCAATGTAGCTGTAGGATAATGGACTCTTTTTTAAGGGAAAAATAAAGGCTGCTATTGAAAGTTAGAGCTGATCGTACTTTATTGTGATCTCTATTCACTGTATTCTAACTCTGGAAAACATTTTGTCTTTATTATTAATATATATTAGTAATATATTAGTATCTATAATACTATTAGTAATATATTAATATCTATAATACTATAGTTGTTGTTATGTGTCGTCGAGTCACTTGCGACTCATAGCAACCGTATGTACAACAGCCCTAAACTCTGCTCTGTCTTGTGCCAATCGCACTGTCTCCAATACACCCATCCCGATTACCCCAGTCATTGAATCAATCCACCTCATAGAGGGCCTTCCACTCCTGCGCTGTCCCTCCACCCTCCCAAGCATGATGTCCCTCCCTAAGGACCAGTCCCTCCTTACAACATGTCCAAAGTCTGTTAGATGGAGCCTCAGAATCCTGGCCTCCAAGGAGCCGCCCGGTTTAACCCTTTCCAGGATGAATCTGTTTGTTTTCCTAGCAGTCCATGGTACCCTCAATACTCTTCTCCAGCACCACAGCTTAAAAGCATCAATTCTCCTTCTGTCCTCCTTAGTCGTTGTACAACTCTCTGATGCATAACAAATGATCACAAAAACCATGGCCTGTATCAGATGCACCTTAGTCTCCAGAGAGACACCATTGCTCTTCAGTACTTTGGAGAGGTCCCTAAAAGCAGACTTTCCCATTGCAGTGCATCTTTCAATTTCCTGGCTACTGGTGCCAAGAGTGTTGACTATGGAGCCAACCAAACTAAAGCTGTGAACAATCTCAATCTCTTCACCAGTATATAAGATATTATATCTTAATTAATATATAATATATACATTCATATACCTGAGACATTAATACACCTGCGTGGGGCAGCAATTTGCTCTAAAAGATAATAGACCCACTCAGCAGTACCACAGCAAACCTTATAAAGACGTTCCACTCTATAACATAAGGAGTCACCATGAGTCAAAATCGATCTGATGGCCGTAAGTTTTCTGACTGCTTTGTTTTTTAGGAGAACTTAAATATGCACCTAAAATTTTTACCCCCAGTACCCATGTATACCTGGTGGCATGGTCCATAGCAGGTTGTGCTGCTAAACCAAAGGCCTCTTGTGCCTGGCAATCTGAATCCACCTGCAACTCTATGGGAATAGGTGGGCATTCTACTCCCATTGAGACTTAGAGCCTTGGAAATTTGATGGAGGGACACTGTGAGTTGGAACCAATTCAATGCCAATGAGTTTGAGTTGAGTTTCTGCCCATACACACAACTTTTATTACGAAGTCTGACATTCATTTGGAAGATGAAGTATCTTTGCCACCACAGAGGCCAGAACAGTTGTCAGTGCTCAGAACTATTTAAATTGCTACTTTTAAAAATTTATCCAATTATAATTAATAAAATCGTAATTAAGACTGGCATATTAGATAAAGGTACCGAGACTCTATCTCGGTTCAAATCTCAGCTCATTTACATCTTAGCTGTGTTATCTTTCATAGTTAATTTAACATCACATTTCCTCAGCCTCATTTCTATAATGAGAATAATAGTACAAGAAGAATGTGGCATTAGGATTGGAGGAAGACTCGCCAACAATCTGTGATATGCAGGTGACACAACTTACTGGAGGTGAAAAAGACTTAAGTAGGTACCGAAGATCAAAGACAGCTGTCTTCAGTATGGCTTACATCTCAACATTAAAAAAGATTTCTCACAATTAGACCAACTGGGAATAGAATGATAAATGGAGAAAAGGTTGAAGTGTGAATAATTTCATTTTACTTGAAGTCAGCACCCATGGAAACAGAAGTCTAAAAATCAAGACAGGTTGCTTTGGGAAAATCTGCTGTCAAGAAACTCCACAGTGCTGATGATGAGAAAGGATGTCCATTTAAAAATTAAAGTGCCTGATCCAAGCCATGGTGGTATTAGTTATGCTGATATGAAACTATACCTAGACCAAGAAACATGTTGTCTGAACAGAGCCAGAAAACTGGGCCATATTCGAGAATCTCTTTGTCATAGGATTTTGTGTGCCATAGTCTGCTTGATATCACCTCACAACAAAGTGAACAGAAAGAATGAAAAAAGGTTGAACAGAAGATTTAAAAGGGCAGCACAGGAACACAGCAAACTATTATAACAAACTATATACACTGGGAAGTTAGAAAACCAAAAGGAAGAATACACTTCTCGTTTCTCAAGCTGAAAAGACTGAAGAAAAAAATTAAGCCACAAATTGTACTATTGAAGGATTCTATGAGTAAAATATTCAGTGACTCAGGAAGGTTCAAGAAAAGAGGAATACACAGAATCTCTGTACCAAAACATTTTGAGGAGATAGCACAAACTAACTCTATGGTCAAAGTCTAATGGCAGTGAAGAAAAAAGTCCAGGCTTACTGAACACATTGGGGGAAAAAAACCCAGAAAACACCAAAATCCAGCTTCCAAGAATTGGAATACCAAATATTGCTGTTTTGTGCCGTCAAGTCACCTGCAACCCATAGTGACTCTATGTACAGCAGCTCTGACCCCTGCCCTGTCCTGAACCAGTCTCACTAATGCCGACACACATTTGCTCATGTATGCCAAAATGTTTGGAACCCAGCTACCTGGCTCACTGACTCGAAGAAATTTATATTTATACCTATTCAAAAGAAAGGTAATCCAACAGAATGCTGAAATTATAGAACAATGTTTTAGTACCTCACACAAGTAAAATTTTACTGAAAATAATTTTTCAATTATTACATAAGTACATTGACACAGAATTGCCAGAAATTCAGACTCAGAAGAGGGCATGGAACAAAACATATCATTTACTTAATAAACAGATATCATTACTGATGACAAGTGAATCTTGTCTCAAAGCAGAACGTACTCAGTTTACCTGTGTTTTATTGATAATACAAAGTCATGTGAATCATAATAAATTGTGGATAACATTTCGGTGAATGGAATGTCTAGAACATTTAACTGTATGCACAGAGAGCATGTGCACAGAGCACGCGGCAGTCTTTCAAACAACAATGGGATGCTGTATGGTTTGAAATCAGGATAAATGTGTGTTAATGGGATACCTTTTATTATTCTGACTGTACTGAGCAAGTAATCTGAAAAGCTAGTTGAGTATAGCTTTAAGATTGGAGGTAGTCTCATCAAACTGAGGTATCAAAAACAATCTTACTTGTTCAAAAGTGAAGAGACTTGAAGCACTTACTGATGAAGATCAAAGTCTCTGGCCTTCAGTATGAATTACATTTCAATATCAAGAAAACAAAAATCCTCACAACTGGACCTATATCATCATAAATGAAGAGAAGATTGATGTTGTAAAGGATTTCATTTTACTTGGATCCATAACCAACATCCATGGCAGCAGCAATCCAGAAGTCCAGCAGCACGCTTCACTGGGCAAATAAAATCTCTTTAAATGTTAAAAAAGCAAAGGTATCACTTTGAGAACTAATATGCACATGATCCCAGCCATTATATTATTAATCACCTCATGTGAAAGCTGGACATTGAAAAAGAAGATCAAAGAGGCCTTTAAGTTGATATGTTGAAAGACACACACCATGAGGCACATACCAGGAAAATAAATCTGTCTTAGAAGACGTGTAGCCAGAATACTTAGAAAGACTGTGAGACTTTTATCTCTCATACTTTGGACTTATCAGGAAGGCCAGTCCCTGGAAAAAAGACATCATGCCTAACGAAGTAGAGGGTTTGCAAGAGGAAGACCTTCAGCAAGATGAGTTTATACAATGACTAAAGCAATGGGCTCAGTCATAGAATAATTGCGCAGGACCAGGAAGTGTTTTACTCTGTTGTTCGTAGAGTCACTGTGGCAACAGTCAACAGCAGCAATGGTTACTGAAGTCCTGTGGGTATCTCATACTTGTAAGATCATTAAACTAGTCCACTTTTTTTCCTCCGCAAACCTGTTCCACTACTAATTCCTTGTTAGAGGTATATGGTTTTTTAAATATAAAGTCTTACATATAACCTGCTTAAAGTTACATAGATCATCTATTTACTATAACATAATCAGACTCAATTAAAAAATAATAAAGCTATCCAGATGAGTTACCAAAGTCCTTTTGAAGCTTATTTATCTATAGCACTATAATACAGAGTCACTCGGAGTTGGAGTCTGCTCAGTGGATGGGCGCGGGATTCTTGAGGGTAGCAGTCCTTGCTGGCACAGTTCTTAGAGGGATTAAAGTGCCTGGCTACTAACCAAAAGGTCAGAGGTCAAAGCCACCAGCAGCGACTGGGGAGACAGGGCTCACCTGTGTGCACAGGCCCCTTCCCCCACCCAGAATTGTCCCCTCCTCACCTGGAACCCCTCCAGGGCATGTGACTCAGAATCAACTGGACGACGTTAGTTATGGGGGTGCGGTGGTTGGAACCTAAATGAAGCGGTGGTTGTTCAAACCCACCACCTACTCACTGGAAGGATGAGTTTACTTTCTTAAAGAAGCAGAGTCTTCCAAAGTGCAAAGAAAAATTCTGCCAGTCCTTCAGAACCACTATGCATGGAATCCATTCACCTGTAGTGGAGTCT